GGACCCGAAACGTTAACTCTGTTTTCTCCTCCACAGATGCTGCGAGACCTGCTGAGCTTTTCCAGCAACTTTGTTTTTGTTCAATCAAGCCACTCAATACGGAACAATATTACTTTCTGAAAACAAAGAATGTGCAGAATTATGAGGTGAAGGCAAGGGAATGGCACAGGGTGAATTGTTCATTCAGAGAGGCATCACAAGCCAAATCGTCACCTGCAGTGTCAGAACCATTCCATGATGCCAGCCCTGCCCTGGCAAAGTGTGCCATCACTGTGTTCAGGTAGCTCCAGACAACTGAATGAATTTTAAATACATTTACAGAAGTTAGTTTCGAGCCCACATTGAGCAGTTTCAGAAAGGCTTTACCATGGAGCACCTGAACTGACTGCATCAGGAACTTGCTCCCTTAGGCCGGTGCTGCCATAGTAACCAACACAGGCCCCTCATCCCGTCCTTCATGACTGGCACTTACCAGACTCCTCATCCTTTTTGTCGAACTTTTTCAACATCTTCCCAGCCTTTCGGTTATTAATCTGCTAACTTTGCAGGCGCTCGAAGAGACCCGGCTGCTTCCACACTTTCCCTCTAGGTCGCCCTTATTCCCAACCACTCTCAGCCCTCCGGATCCCACTTCCGGTGTCAATGCCTTCACTTCCTGCCAACCTGTCACAACGACACGTCATTCACCCCATCGATGCGCATGCCCGGCGCCGGCACCGCTCCTGGCGGAGCCGGCAGTCTGAGCATGCGCAATGCCGCCGGACCGCTGTGGGTTCTGCGCACGCGCAGAACCGGCTCCTTTCCAGCGCTACTGCAGGTAGCGTCAGAATCAGTTCCAGCAGTGCGCATGCGTGTCGTTGTTGAGGTGGTTTTTCTTCCCCTTTAAATAGGTCCATTACTTTTTAATTTATACTATTCTTTAATCTGCCTCTCTTACCAAGGATATCTAAAGTGTAGAAACTGGCCACACTGAACCCAAATAGCCCGTGCTGGTGTTTGTGGGGTTGTCACACAAAGATTAAAAGCACAACAGGAGGCCGTTTGGCCCCTCTGGCATGACCTGGTCCTCTACATGAGCAGCTGAGAGAGCCCCACCTCAAGGGATCAAGGGATAAGACTGTAAGACATAGGAGTGGAATTAGGCCATTTGGCCCATCAGGTCTCATCGTTGCTGATATAGGGTAGCATGGAGACTCAGCAGTTAGCACTGCTGCCTCACAGCGCCAGGGACTGGGGTTCAATTCCACCCCCAGGCGACTGTCTGTGTGTGGAGTTTGGGTCTGCCTGGGATTCTTCCGGGTGCTCTAGTTTCATCCCACAGTCCACAGGATGTGCAGGTTAAGTGCATTGGCCATGCTAAATTGCCCATTGTGTCCAGGGATCTGCAGGCTAGGTGGATTAGCCATAGTAAATGTGGGGTTACAGAGATAGGGTGAGGGTGGGGGTAGGTTTGGGTGACTTGCTTTTCGGAGGGTTGGTGTGGGCTGATTGGCCTGTTTCCACACTGGAGGGATTGTATGTTTTTAAATCCCATTCTCCTGTCTTCTGCCTGGGCACAACAAAGATGTTGAACCCCTCTTCTATTGTGTCCATTGCCCAATTCTTTGGACAGGAGCCCTTTCTCTGTCCCATAGACACCTTCATCTGCCTCCAACACTCCCCCTCCATACCTAGACCCCTACTTCTGGCCCTTTACTTACAATCAATCAGTTCACTGAAAATTGTCAATGTTGCCACGATAATTTCTCTGCCCCCTCGTCCATTCAAACCAGTGTCCCTCTGAACTGTTTGCACTCTGTGCTCTCAGATCCAACTCTGACTTTGAAATCAAGCCTGCCACCAAGGGTGGTGCTGCTGTTCACTGGCATACTGACCTTGACATTACGGAGGCTGAGCACCAGCACTCAAGATTCCTCCTCCTATCTCTCCTGGACCATGACCCCACCATCGAACATCAGGATATTATGTCCATGGCAGTCAGTAAGTTCATCTTATTCTAGGCATGTCTTCCCCCCTCCACCCACCCCATATGCCCTCATTCCCCACAGCCTCCAAGTTCACAGTCCCCCATCCCCATACACCCTTCTTCTACCTTCTTCCCAAGATCCATAAATGGGCTGCCCAGCAGACCTAACGTTTCTGCTTGTTCCTGCCCCACGGAATTTATTTCTTCTTACCTTGACTTTTCTACTTTTGTCCAGACCCTTCCCATATCCATCTGCAATTCTAAGGGCGGCACGATGGCTCAGTGTTCAGCACTGCTGTCCCACGGCACCAGGGACCCGGGATCGATTCCACCCTCGGGCAACTGTCTGTGTGGAGTTTGAGCATTCTGCCCGTGTCTGCTTGGGTTTCCTCCCACATCCATAGGTTAGGGTGGATTGGCTGTGGGAAATTGTACCATTGTGCCCAGGGATGTGCAGGTTAGGGTGGATTGGCCATGCTAAATTGCCCATAGTGTCTAGGGAGGTGCAGGCTAGCTGGGTCAGTCATGGGAAATACAGGGTTACAGGGTGGTGGGGGCGGGGTGTCTGGGTGGGATGTTCTTCAGAGGGTTGGTGCAACTGAATAGGCTGAATGGCCTGCTTCCACAATGTAGAGTTTCTATGATTCTGACAGTTTACAACAGTTTCAAAATTTCGACTTTGAGGGCACCAACTGCCTCCTCTTCGACACAGATGTGAAATCCCTTTACACGTCCATCCCGCATCAAGATGGTCTCAGGGCTCTCCGCTTCTTCCTGGAAAATAGGCCTGAACCATCCCCGCCCACCACCACCGTCCTCCACCACGCTGAGCTGATCCTCGTTTCAAACAACTTCACCATTAACTCTTCTCACTTTCTACCATGGCCATGGGTTCATGCGTGGGCCCCAGTAATGCCTGTCTCTTTGTGGGGTGCATGGAACGGTCCTTGTTCCAATCCCATTCGGGTCCCTCCTCAAAACTCTTTCTCCTGCACATCAAACACATCATCGGTGCTGCTTCCCTCTTTACCTGGTCCATCTTTGACTCCTCCATTCCTTTCCTCCACATCTCTGTTTCCATTTTTGGGAAATCCACTGCAAACCACCAACTCCCAGAGTAACTTCGACTATACATCCTCACACTCTACTTCCTGTAAGGACTCCATTCCATTCTCCCAGTTCCTCCATTCTGTTGTATCTGTTCTGATGATGCTGCCTTCTGTGTGTGGGGGGTCGGGGGTTGGGGGTGTGGTGGGCGGGGGTTGCGGTGGTGGCTTGCTGGAGGCACGGGTCTCATACTGTCCATCTTCTTCCTCAAACAAGGATTTCCCCAGCACAGTAGTTGACAGGTCCCTCAGCCGGGTCCGACCCATCTCCCGCACTTCAGTCCTCACCCTCTGTCTTCCATCCCCCATAAGCAACAGGGTTCCCCTCGTCATAATTTTCCTCCTCTCCAGCATCCACATCCAGAGGATCATTAGACACCATTTCCGTCACCTCCAGCAGGATGCCATCACCAGACTCGTTCCCCATTCCTTCTGTGTCAGCCTGCACTGGGACTGTTCCCTCCAGGACACTCTGGTCCACTCTTCCTCCATCCCCAGCACCTCCCCACACCCCCTTCAGCACCTTCCCATGCAACTGCAGAAGGTGTAACACCTGCCCAGTAACTCCCTCCCTCCTCATAATATAAGGCCTCAGACACACTTTCCAGCAAATTACCTTCACTTCACCCAATCTAGTCTGTTGTATTTGCTGCTCACAATGTGGTCTTCTCTCCACTGGGGAGACGAAACGCAGACTGAGTGACTGCTTTATGTCTGTCTGTAAAAATGATCCTGAGCTTCCAGTTGCCTGCATTTTCAACATGCCACCCTGTTCCCTGGCCAACACCTCTGTCTCAGGCTTGCTGCAGTGCTCCAGCGAAGCTCAGTACAAGCTGGAAGAACAACACCTCATTTTCTGCTTGGGGTCTCAACACCAAGTTTAACAATTTGGAACCTGAACACCTCATTCCGTGTCCTTTATCCATTCCACACCCGCCAGCCCTATCATGCCATGGGCTGCTTTCAGCACAGCTGACCCATCTTCACCTACTTACGGTCCCCATTTCAGCTTCTCTCCTTCCCTGGCTTCCCATTATCCATGTCTTTGCCTAACTTCTCTTCTCTCTCTCTCTCTGGGCTCCATTTCTGCCTATGGATAGGGTAAATAGGCAAAGGGTAGTCAAAAACTAGAGGGGCATAGGTTTAAGGTGAGAGGTGAAACATTTAAAAGGGACCTAAAGGGCAACTTTTTCACACAGAGGGTGGTGCGTGTATGGAATGAGCTGCCAGAGGAAGTGTCAGATACGTTTGAATACAATTACAATTACAACATTTAAAAGGCACCTGGATGGGTATATGAATAGGAAGGGTTTAGTGGTATATGGGCCAAATGCTGGCAAATGGGATTAGATTTATGTACGATATCTGGCCGGCATGGGCGAGTTGGACCGAAGGGCCCATTTCTGTGCTGTACATCTCTGTGACTCTACTCCTCTTGCCCCCTCACCCCCTGTCTTTAGCTTATATACCACCTTTTCCTAGCTACTATCAGTTTTGAAGATGGGTCACTACACTCAAAACGTTAACTCTGCTTTCTCTCCTCCAATGCTGCTCAACCTGCTGAGTTTCTGCTTTTGTTTCAGCTAGATACACTCGCCACCCTTTCCGTGTCACTTGGGGAATTTTATTTTTCTCTTCAGTCCAGGTTTCCTTACTTGGGTTGGAAGAAGTTCCTCAGATTGTCTTCTGAGGGAACGTTGTTTGGGTTGGGCCTGTACTCTTTGGGTTTAGAAGAAAGAGAGCTGACTGTGTTGAAACATAAGAGATTCTGAGGGGTCTTGAAAGGATAGATGCTAAAAGGATGACCCCTTGAGGGGGGAATATCTAGAATGACTGGTCGCAGTTTCAGAATATGTGGTTTTCCATTTAAGACCAGACATGAGGAATAATTTTTCTGAGGAATAATTGCTATCTTAGAGGGTAATTATCTTGGAATTATGAACTGCAGCCAGCAGTGGAGGCTGGATACATTCAAGGCTGAGTTGGACAGATTTTTGTTCTACAAGCAACTGAGGGCATGTAAGGGAGTTGGTTGGGCAGAGTGGAAAGGGGAGATGTGGCTACAGTGTGATCTTAAACAAAAACAGAAATTGCTGAAAAAACTCAGCAGGTCTGGCAGCATCTGTGGACAGAAATCAGAATTAACATTTCAGCTCGCGTGACCCTTCCTCAGAACATCTCAGTCATTGTCTTATTGTATGATGGAGCATATTTGATGGGCTGAATGGCCTACTCCTGTCTCTTGTGTTCTTGTACAACAAAGCTACCGATCAGGGGAGCATACCAATAAGTTTTTGATCATATTCCAACTCATTCAAGAGGAACAAATTACCTTTGAAATAGATAAAATATAGGAATATTTTGATTCTGTATTCCCTTGGTACCGTGGGTCCCACACTCCCTGTAAGCAAACTCAAACTTTACTTGCATTGTAAAACTCCTTTAGTTTCTACGTAGCTGGGGAATGCGAAGGAGAAAGTTTCTCCTTTCGTACTATATTTAGAATCAGCTTGCGCAAGTTCACAGCCAACAAACTGCCTACTGGGCCAGGGCTATATTCCAGTGTCCGACAAGACTCTTAAGCTTCAAAATATTGTTCACCCACCGTATTCACAACCGTCATCGAAGAACATTTTCACTCGCTTGTGATTGAGCTTCAGGAATGTGTTCCCTGGTGATCGATCCCTCAGCACCTGTGTTGGACTCGTGTACAAAATACCTGCACTTCGACCTCTAGCTGACAACGTTAGCTCAGCACCCAGGCACTGAACAGTGCAGGTGAGGGAGACATTTCCTAAGATAAACCACTGCTCAATGCAATCAAGATAAAGGGCCAGCTGGTAAATGATCTCATTCATGAGACATTGTTTGCAGTTCCTTCCCAACATTTTCAGAATGGAAACCCAAAACTAAAGGAACAATGCTGAGACCACAACTATTTATAATACATATTAATGTAAATTAATATTAATTTTAAATTAATCAAATGTTGTTTATATTAATATCAATAAATATTGATGTTTTGAAAACAGTTCACACTACAGAAGAGGAAGTGCTGGAGGTTTTAGAAAATACAAAGGTGGATAAATCTCCAGGACACGATCTAGTGTATCCCAGGATGTTGTGGGAAGTTAGGGATGCAATTGTACGGTCCCTTGCAGAAATAACATGGGTACGGTGCCAGGGGTTGGCTAATGTTGTGCCTTTGTTTAAGAATCATAGAATCCCTACAGTGTGAAGGCAAGCCATTCAGCCCATCAACTCCACACTGACCCTTTGAAGAGCATTCCCACCCAGGCCCACTACCCCCCCTCCCATAACCTTGCATTTCCTATTACCAACCCACCTAACCTGCACATCTTTAGACTGTGGGAGGAAACCAGAGCACCCAGAAGAGACCCAAGCAGACACAGAGAATGAGCAAACTCCACGGTTGCCTGAGGCTGGAATTGAACCTGGTACCCTAGCACCATGCGGTAGCACTGCTAACCACTGAGCCATCATGGGATGTAAGGAGAAGTCTGGGAACTCTAGACCTGTGAGTCTGATTTCGGTGGTGGGTAAATTGTTGATGGTGATTCTGAAAGATAGGATTTTATGCATTTCGAGAGGCAAGGACTGATTAGGGATAGCCAGCATGATTTTGTACGAGGGAAATTGTGTCTCACAAACTTGATTGTGTTTTTTGAGGAAGTAGCCAAGAAGATTGATGAGGGCAGAGCAGTAGGCATTGTTTACTTGGACTTCAGTAAAGCAGTTGACAATGTTTTGCATGGTAGACTAATTAGTAAAGTGAGATCACATGGGATCCAGGGTGAGCTTGCCAATTGGATACAAAATTGGCTTAACAGCAGGAGACAGAGAGTGGTGGTAGAGGGTTGCCTTTCGAGCTGGAGGCCTGTGACTAG